AGAGAAGAGAAGAGAAGAGAAGAGAAGAGAAGAGAAGAGAAGAGAAGAGAAGAGAAGAAAAGAAAGAAGCCATCAGAGGGTGGGACTGCCCAAAGGCCAGAGGGGTCACCTACACCTGCCTTGTAGGTCAGCTTTTTATTATTGAGGACCCCCTTGAAGCCCCCAAACCCACAAGGCTCTGAACATCAGGGAGCCAGGCCCTGTTCAAAAAGAAAGTACAGCCTGGCGAGGTGGCACCCACCTGTAATCCCAGCACTTGGGAGCCTGAGGTGGGAGGGTCATTGTGAGTTTGAGACCAGCCTGGGCTACAAAGTGAGACCCTGTCTCAAACCATAGAGAGAGAGAGAGGTGGGAGGGAGGGGAGGGCTCCTTGGGAGGAGGGGGGGACAGTGGGAGGGGTGCAGAGGAAGGGACCCCAGTATTTACTACACAGCTGCACCAGCAACATCCAAGCACAGCCCGGGGACCCCATCCCCAGATCCTCAGGTGCAACTAGGACACCCAGTTCCCCCCCCACCAGACAGACTTCCTACTGCTTTGTCTGCCCATCTCACCACTGCAGGGGGTGGGTGGATGTGGTGGGGGCAGACATCTGGTGTTGGATGATGTTTGGGAGCCCACTTTTTGCTACCACATGACCCGATTTCCCCAAAGTGTCCTACACTGAAAGGAAGTTTGTGTAGTGAGTGATGAGTGAGCGAGAGGTATTTCTCTTTTCCTTTTTTTCTTTTTTTTAAAATTATTTATTTATTTTTATTTATTACATTTATTTATTGTGTGTGTGTGTGGCCAGCTCAGCCCACCAGGGGGTGGGGCTGGCTGGCATGTGGTGCTGGGGATCGAACCGCGGTCCCTGTGCTTTGCCAAGCTTGTTTCAAGTAGGTGCTTTAGACCACTGAGCCATCTCTCCAGCCCCCCTTTTTTTCATATATATATTTTTTCTTTTTAATTTTTTTTTAAAGTCCTGGGGGATGAAGCCCAGGGCCTTCACATTGAGCCACAACCTGGGCCTTATTTATTTATTTATTTATTTAGAGATAGCATTTTGCTAAGTACAAGTTACCCTGGCTGGGCTGGAACCTGTGAGCCTCCTGCCTCAGCCTCCCAGAGTGCTGGAATGCCAGGCACGTCCCTGCAAGCCCAGATTCCAGACAATATTCACTGGAATGGGTGACAGTGGACAGCTCTGTCCTTTTAAGGGGAAAGAATCCAGTCTGGTGCCCTGAAGGCCTATGTGGGTGAGGTGCTTGTAGGCATCCGACATTGAGCTGAGAACAGGCCTCTGCGTCCCTGGCTTTCTGGGGGCTTACGGTCTGTTTTGTTTTTGAGATGCTAGGGATGGAGCCTGGGTCCTCCACATGATAGAGGGGTGCTCAGGACAAAGCAGGCAGCAGAACTAGGGGCCTCAGTGCTGTGCCCCAGCCCCAACCACAAGCACAAGAGCAACCTCCTTTCTTCCCCTCAGGGGAAGATTCTCCTCAACCACTGGGAGTCTGCTGGCTGCTGTGGAGGCTCTGCCTTGTCTTTCAACTCTCCTCTTCAGGCAGACACTTGGCCTCCCACCCACTCTCGAACCCTTCTTTGGATTCTTTTTTTTTTTTTTTTTTTGTGGAACTGGGGATTGAACTCAGGCCCTTGTGCTTGCCAGGGAAGCGCTTATTCCACTGAACCATCTCCCCAGCCCTTTCTTTGGATTCTTGTAAGCTCCACCCTAGACCCCAGCATCTGTGGGAAAGAACTGAGGACCCTGGGGAGATTAAGGTGCAGGCCCTACTCGACTGATGTAGGAGAGAGAGTCATTTGTTTTTTTGGTTTTGTTTTTGAGGAGATAAAACCTGGGGCTTTGTGGATGCGTAGGAGTTCAGTTGTGTCATGGGAAGGGAAAGAGGGCTTTGCTGCTGAACGGTGGGTTGGATGACAGTGGCTTCCCCCAAGCACGGGTGCGAGTGTCCAAGGGCCACATTTTGGGGACTAGGCTGGAGGGTTTGAATGGTAGTTTGAGTAGCAATGGAGAAGGTATCTGGGTGAATATGTGGGGAGATGGAGGTGCTGGACTTGGGACGACCTTGAGGTCACCTGACAAAGCTGGAGATTGAACCCAGACCTGAATTTAGCATATTCCCTAATTTAGATATCATTCAGATTCTCTTGACAGAGGGCCTTTGCAGTGAGCTATGTTCCCAGATCTTTTTTAAATTTTTTTATTTTAAGACAGGGTCTCGCTACATTGCTCAGGTTGGATGCACTGGAGATCCTCCTGCCTCAGCCTCCCACAGTGCTAGGACACCAAGTCCAGCTCAGATATCGTTCTCTGGGTCGCCAGGGGAGTCCCAAATCCTGCAGGTCTGGCTCAGGCGAACCCCGCCCTGGACTACACCTCCCAGGCTGCCTCGGGAAGCGCGCCTGCGCAGTGTGCGCAGTGATGGAGCGCTGACCAGGGGCGCGGCGGCGGCAGCGAGGACTCCGCGGGCCATTGGCTACCGGCAGCGGTCAGGGCGGCTCGGGGGCTCCAGAGCCAGCAGGGCCTGCGGGCCGGGCTGGGGTGACCCGGGCTGCAGCTATGGAAGACCAGAGGGTAGGTCGGGGCGTGGGAGGGGGCGCAGCGCGGCGGGCGGGGTGGGGACCAGGTGAGCGCAGCGTCCCCTCCCCCAGCTGCGCTGGGGTCGCGGCACGGTTCCGCCCGGTCCCAAGTCTTCCCTTACTTGGGACTGAGTCTTCCATCCTTCTGGCCTGGGGCGAGGGCAGTCCCTCTCCGCCCTCCAGCCCTCCTTTCAGGACTTAGTTCCCCTCCACGACGCCGCCTCCATCCCAGGTGTCCCCACCCCCCACCAGCGCCGCAGTGCTGACCTCGCCCACCGTGGGCCTTCCGAAAAGGGGAGCCAGATCCGAGGGCTGAGTCCACCCCCATCCTCCCCTGACCTATCTTCCCCGACCCACTTACCTGGCCTCTAGGGCCTCCCCTTTTCCTGTTCTCCCGTTCTTTCTCCAGGTGATCCTGCCCCCTCACCTCTCTCCAGGTGGACCCTGTCTTCAGCGGAGCCCCCTCCCGACCCACCCGTGCTCCCAGGCCAGCCCTGGCCCATGCTCTCCGCCTCCCCTAGGGCTTTGCTCTGCACAGATAGCCCCTTGCCCAAGCTAGCCCATCTCCTCTGGGCGGGTCTACGCCTAGGCTGGCCCGGTGCTTGCTCAATCCAAGATGCAGGCACAGAGCTGCGGGCTGAGTGTGCACAGGCCGACCTGGTTTGGCCCTGTCCTTTCCCTAAACTTCTCCCCGGCCTCCACTTTCCCACTTGCCCCGGAGAATGGGGATGATTGAAGAGGCCACCTGCTAGGAGAGGTAGTTAGGGCCAGAGCCACCTGTCCGAGGCCTGGTTCCCGGAGGGGTCACATAGTCTGTGTGTGTCTGTCCCTCCATGGAGCAGGAGGCTCTGCGGAAGATCATCACCACCCTGGCTGTGAAGAATGAAGAGATCCAGAGCTTTATCTACTCCCTCAAGCAGATGCTGCTGAATGTGGAGGTGAGGGAGAAGGGGAGCTGCCCACTGTGGTGCACAGCCTGTTGCTGCCACATATGGGGGCCAGGCTGGGTGTGTCCCTGCCTCAGTTTCCCCTTCTGATCATGCGCCTTGGCCAATCCTGGCCATTCCCATCCAGGCGAACTCGACCAAGGTGCAAGAGGACCTAGAAGAGGAGTTTCAGTCCCTCCTGTCTGTGCTGGAGGAGCTCAAGGAGGGTATGCTCATGAAGATAAAGCAGGACCGTGCCAGCCGCACCTACGAACTACAGGTGTGTGACCACAGGAACAACCCCACAATCCCGGGCTCTGGGTGCACCCCTGCCCCCTCCAGGCGTGGCCTGTCAATCCCCATCTGCCTTCTCTTCCCCTTAATCCCTTCAGCCCTGACCCCCTAGATCCAAAGGCTTCACCCGCATTCAACCCCCCTTGTGGTTCTTGTGACCCCACTCCAAGCTGGGGTCCCTTGGGCTGCAGCCAAACCTCCCAGAAGCTTCCTAACAGCCCAGATCCCCGTCCCGAGGGAATGTGGAGCCCGTGAGCTCAGGTGTGCCCCAGAGTGTGAGGGATTAAGTGACTCCCCCTGTGATTCCTCGGAAGCCCCAGAGCCAGAATCCGTGTGGCTGCGTCCTCAAAGTGTTAATCTCTGTGTCCTGTCTGTGGATGGAGAAGGCAGGGTTCCCTGGGACCTGGAGGTGGCAGGAGAGCCCTGGCAGGGCTTGAAGTAGCACAGTGAGTTGGTCCCTGTGCCGGGCTGATGGGTCCCTCTCACCCCACAGAACCAGCTATCTGCCTGCACCCGGGCCCTGGAGAGTTCGGAGGAATTGCTGGAGATGGCTAACCACACCCTGCAGGCTGCTGACAGCGAGGACTTCCTCCAGGTGGGTGTCTTCGAGGTGGCAAGAAGCAAAATACAGGGCACCTGTTGACATTTGCATTTTTGCTTAATTGCAAGTATTCTTTTAGTGGAAGGTTAACCTGTCCTATCTGGGCAATAGCTAGCACAGTGTGTCTCAAATATTGCCAGGTACGGCGGTGCATGCTTCTCATCTGAGGATTCTGGGACCCTGGGGAAGGAGGATTACAAGTTCAAATGCAGCCTGGGCAACTGAGCCAGTCTCAGAATAAAAAACAAAAAAATAAAAATGGTTGGGGATTGGAGCTTAGTGAAAAGACCCTGGGACCTGTCCCCAGTAGTAAAAAAAAAAGGAAAGAAAAATTGCACAAGACATACCAAAAATTTATTCACTGCTGACCTGAAATTCAAATTTATCACTGGATATTTTTAATATCTAGATATAGTGCTGGGGAGATAGCTTAGTAGAATAAGCACTTGCCTGGCAAGCGCAAGGGCCTGAGTTCAATCCCCGGTTACACCTAAAAATAATAAATAAATAAATAAATAAAGGATCTGAATTTTTGGAGCTGGGGAGATAGCTCAGTAGAATAAGCACTTGCCTGGCAAGCTCAAGGGCCTGAGTTCAATCCCCGGTTCTGGGAAAAGAACATACAAAAAAAAAAAAAAAAAAAAAAAAAAACC